GGCGCGCGGACAGGCCGCCCACAAGCCTCTCCAGCCGAGGCGGCAGGCGGGGCACGGTAGGTCTCGCCCACAGTCCTCCGCGCAGGCGACCACAAGCCTCTCCAGTGGAGGGGCAGTGTGACTGGGCCCTTGCTCCTCTGGCTGCTCCTGGCTGACCCTTGGTCCTCAGTGGTCTCTTTGGCTGTGTAGTGGCCCTGCTTCAGCCACCAGGCATCCGTGCACTGTGCTCTCGGGGCGAGCTTTACTTGGCACCTACACGAGAGGCCCTGTGTTGAGTACCTTTCGTTTCTCTCTGCACCTCACACTAACCCTTCTGCTCCTGTCTGTATTCTTTTACTATTTTTTTTTTTTGAGAGGGATATTTGCTATAGGGCGCATGCACTTGCCAGAGAGACAGACAGAAAGCAAGAAATCACTCCCCAGGGAGGATGGCCACTCCATAATCCCATCTCCTCCCCTCTTCTCTCAGGGTTTTGAGCACGCACACACACGTGCACTGGCGTGAGTTTTAAGCTGCCGGGTGCAAGACTTGAACAGTGGCGGACTACATGGTGATCCAGTGACGTACCGTTATGCTGCCCACTGGCCCCTGTATCATTGCTTTCACTGACACGGAGTAATTGTACATGTCTATGGGGCGCACAGGGTAGTTTTAGTACTTGAACACAGTGTGTAATGGTCAGGTTGGGATAATGGTCTGTTTATCGGCACTTTGGAAACCTTCAAAATTGTCTTTTAGCTGTTTTTACTTATACAGTCTGTTGTCGCTGCAGCCAGCCTTACGGTCAGGTGTTCGCTGCAGCCAGCCTGCCATGCTGTGGGTCTCTGGGACTCAGTCCTCGTGTCCAGCTGTGATTTGGGATGTGAACCAGTATCTCCCCATCCCACGCCCCACTGGCCTTTCCAGCCTCCCGTAACCACATTCTCTACATGTCGTCGTTTTTTCTAACGGGTATCTGAGAGAGAGAGATAGGGAGTGGGAGGGAGGGACGCCTTGTCCCTTCCACCTTGCCCTCCTTTCAGGATTCAGGGACATGTGCACATGCACCCAGTGTTGTTTCTCAAGCTGCTATGTCTGAGGCTTGAGCCACGTGGTTGGTCCTGTGGGACCCTGCTGTCCTAACCACTGGACCAAGAAGCTGGCCCCGTAGTCTCCACTTCTGTGAGAATAGCTTTTGTAGTTTCCACGTTTGAGGGAAGATGTGAGGCTTTTCTCTTTTTTTCTGGAGAGGTTTTTGCTATAGGGTGCATGCGCTCATCAGACAGACAGAGACAGAGAGACAGAAAGCGAGAAATCACCCCCCAGAGGGAATGGCCACGCCACAATCCCTTCTCCATTCTCCTCTCGGGATCTTGGGCACGCATGCACACACGCCCGGCGTGAGTTTTAAGCCACTGGGTCCAGGTTGCAAACCATGGTCGACTACATGGGAGTCCAGCGACATAGCCATTACACTAACTGATGGTCCCAAGGGCTTTTCTCTTTCTGTGCTTGGCTGGCTTCACGGCACATGGTGTCCTCCAGGCTCATTCTGTCACTTCCTCTCTGAGTAACACCCCACCTTGTGTCCCCATTTCCATATCTGTTACAGTAGTCTTTTCGAAGGGACTCAGAACGATTCTGCATCTTGGCTGTGGAAGTGTGGCGGGATGCACAGAAGCGCAGAAATCTCCATGCACCCTGGTTCCTTTCCTTTGGACAGATGTCAGTAGACCTGAATACAGCTCCTGGGGTACATGGTGTGGCTGGATCCCGTGGCAGTGTGGTGGTAGCTTGTGAGCACGTCCACGCTGCTTCCCATGGTGGCCGTCCTGCTGTGCAGTCCCACTGACGGCCACGCTAGCCTGTGGGCTGGCAGGCGTCC